TGCTGGTGTTGGATTGGGGTGGACAAGGTCAGAAATCACATGACACCAGGTTATAGTCAAAAAGGTTTATGTGAAAACACAAGCTTTTGGAGCGTAGCCCCTTCATCAGGTGAAATGAGAAAAAAGCACACAGAACGCAGAATTTGTAAGTAAGAGATCAAAGGGTCACACAAATAAACCGCTAGTTCTCTCAGATCACTGACTTGAAAGAAATTCAGGGACTTACGTAGACGTATTAATCAATTAAAACTTTCTGATTAAAGATTTAACAGCATCTTGGGTTTGTTCAATACATCCTCACCAGTTGTGTGACCCTTTGATCTTTTACTTATAAATTCTGTGTTCTGTGTGCTTCTTTCTCACTTCACTTGATGAATGGGCTACGGTACAAAAGCTTGTGTTTTCAAATAAACCTATTGGACTATAACTTGGTGTTGTGAGATTTCTCAAAATAGTCACTGTTTAGATTGATTTCTGATATGTTAGTTTTGAGTTTCTTTTTCTTAAAAGGCCATTTTAATGTTTTTAACAGTAACATACAATTTGAATGTGCGTTTCCAGAATAATGCTACATCTGGTCGTAGCTGGTTGTTTTTATTTCATTCTAAATTTAATTATGTTTATAATGAACTTACAGTAAAAATAAAACACTGGGGAATTTATTACAAGTATCAGTCACACTTAACTGGTTCATTTAAACTGATCATGTGTGTATCCATCCTCTTTCCAACATTTTCTACTTTTCAACAGGAAGAATGATAAACTTGTATTTATGCAGCACCTTTTGCAACCACTGAATATCCTTAAGAACAAAGTTTTTTGAGAAGATTTGTAGCTCGGGTTGTGGATGGGGTTGTGGATGAGGTTGTAGACTTGCTTGCCGAGCTGGTGTGTTTGATTGTAAACGTTTTGTCACCCTGCTAGGTAACATTGTCAGTGTGCCTCCGGTGAAACGTTGGTGTTCTGTCCCACTTGTTATTTATATGCCTCGGTTTGCTGCGGTGGTTGGCATCACTTCTGGTTCTGTTTTTCAGTGGTTTGTATACCAGATCCAGTTCAGTGTGTTTGTTGATGGAGTTCCAGTTGGAATGCCAGGCCTCCAGGAATTCCCTGGCAGGTTTCTGTTTGGCTTGTGCTCTTGTGGATGTGTTGTCCCAGTTGAATTCGTGTCCTCCTTTGTCCAAGTGTATTGAGACCAGTCAGAATTAGTCATGTCTCTTGGTGGCGCGTTGATGTTCATGTATCCTTATTGTCAATTTTCTTCCAGTTTGGCCTATTTTGATGTTTCTCACAGTCCTTGCATGGTATTTTGTATATTACTTTAGTTTTATTGGTTGTGGGTATGGGATCCTTTACGTTCATCAGTAGCTGTCGCAGGGTAGTTGTTGGTTTGTGGGCTACTCTGATACCTAGGGCTCTGAGTAGTCTTGTGGTCATCTCTGATATGTCTCTGTACGGTAGGGTGACTAGTATGTCTGGCTGTGTTGTGTTGACTTGTTGTGGTCTGTTGCGGAGGTAATGGTAGCTTGTGCTTTTTTTGGTATCTGTTCCTTTTTAAAAACTCTGTATAAGTGCTCCTGTTCTGTTTGCACAGTTCTGGGTTGCTGTAGTGTGTTGTGGTCCATTTAGATAATGTCCTGATGCAGCTCCATTTAAGGTAGAGTTAGAGTAGCCGGGAAGAACCTGTTTCCCTTTGTAAGAGGGAAAAAAACCAGGAATCATAGACTCAAGCTAAGTGGCAGAGGATCAGAGGAGATGTGAAGAAAAACTTTTTTACGGCTGTATCATTTCTATGGTTGTATGGATGAATAAACCATATGCCTATTCTAACCCTACTTTCCTGCACCCTCGTATGTAGCCTTGCAGGTTTCACACTCAAAAGTGCAATTCCAGTTTTCTTTTAAGTAAGTTGAGTGTTTCTGCCTCAACCACCAAATTGCCCAGTAAATTCTTGGTACCAGCCGTCTTCTGGGTGAATAGGTGTTTTTTCATGCCTCTTCTGCCAATCACCATAAATCTGTGGCATCTAGTAATAGATCTCTCCACTACTGGAAATGAGTCCTTCCTGTCCACTCTATTCAAGGCCCTCGTTTTGTAATTTTGAAAAAAAATGAATTTCTGTTATTCAGCATTTACCACGAGACATAGAAATGAATGTACAGAGATAAAAGTCATCTTGTCTTAAACTTTGTAATGCCAGAAGTATTTTTTTTGCAAACTTGTAATTTGAAGTGAATAATTCCTTGCAATACCTGACAAGCTTTGTAGCACTCCAGAGTATTTCTCACATTCATTCACTAGAATGGTTCTTGCTGACAGGAGTGGGATTCTGTTTAAATAACACATTGCTTGCTGGAAGTCATGGTCAATTGAACACATTTTATTAGGTATATGCTTGTAGATATTTGCATATTTTACTCATTATTCTTTGCAGTTGATTTGGCCATATGGTGCCTGGGTCAGTGGAGAATATCAGAAAATTTGGAGGTAGATCTATTTCTGGCTTATGCCGAATAGTATAATTTGGCCCCCATATTGACTCCAGGAGACACTTATTGTATTCATGACCACACTACTGAATTGAAGCCAGCCAATATTCTTTTAAATCTTAGCTCAGGCAGGATCCTGTGAAGTTGCACATGTACCGGCATTTGCTCTCAATAATCAAAACAAATCTTACTATCGACTAATTTTAATGTTCTTCCCAAGGTGAGTTTAAAGGCAGGAGGCATTTATTTGAATTTGTCAGTTTTAAAATGGTGTTTAGATAATTTAGATTAGTTCAATTGGTTTAGCCTGCCAAATCAAATTTCTTGATTTAATGCATGAAACGGGTTTAGCTCAGATTACTGCTTCCTAAACTCTTTCCCAATATGACTTTATTTTGAAGTTTGAAAGTTGTTTCGATCCCTTGATGAGTGGGGAAATGGTAGGAAATCTACATGAGAGCACTGCCTTGGAACACATGATTCCAAAATCTCACTTCACGATCCCTCTTGAGGTCCCAATCCCCACTTTGGGGAGCACTTGTTTAGACGTTCCAAATTCAACAGCTATTCTATCAGACAAGACTAGAAAATGAAATTAAAGATTAATAACATTTTTTTATTGAGTATAATTGAGCAGAACAGTTCACCCTTCCTCAGAAGCATTCTGAAGAAGGGTCAGTGGACCTGAAATGTTAACTCTGATTTCTTTTCATCGATGCTGCCAGACCTGCTGAGCTTTTCCAGCAACTTTTGTTTTGTTTCTGATTTACAGCATCGGCAGTTCTTTCGGTTTTTATTTAGAACAGTTCACTCTACGGCTAAGGTCTATTTAAGTAATGAACAAAAGGCACCAAAATTACCTCATCAAAAATACAAGACCGATTTCAAATTGGATATGCACTCCCCGTCTCGCAGGCTGGCAAACTCTTACTTTCTTGAATCAAAACACCTCCAATTTTTGTGCTGACCAAATCTCGATAACTGCCTGAAAATTCGCCTTGCTTAGATGAATGTCAGTCCTGGTGTGAGGCGAGAACGCGCTCCACTTAGAATAGAACAGAAATTTATTTTCACGTGTACCTTTACATGAAAAATACAGTGTGAAGTTTTATAAGTCACCTACATCAATGACTGAAGTCATACAAAATAATAAATAAAAGTAAAATTAAGATAGAATTCATCATAGTTCAGTTAACCGCTCCTGGGCTCAGGGAAAGCTGATTTAGGTGTGATGGAATACCCTGAAGATGCAGCCGGGACGAGACCGCTGTGCCGGGCCACTGGAATACTAGGCCAGAAGCCTCTGCCGAAGAAGTCTGGCATGCTGGGCTGAGACTGCCATTCCTGGATGAGACCGCCTGCTGGACCACTGAAATACCTGGACACCAAAGAGGAAGACCTCCACACCAGGACAAGCCTGCCATGCCGGGATAAGACTGTCATAACAGGAGACTGTCATGTCGGGAGACTGACACACGGAGACTGCCGTGCTGGGCCGAGACTGGCTTTCTTCTCCTTCAGGTGCCTGGGCCTAGCTTCGGACCTGGAGCTTCGGCCTAGCCTGTGAGTCCAGGCCAGGGGAGTCAGTGCGGGACCTGTTCCTTGCTCCTTGGGACACCCCAGACTAGGTTGGAGCAGTGTCCAGCTCACACTGGTGTTGCTGCCACTGCCGCTGACGCCAGAGACTTCTACAGGGCCCTTGAGAACTTAAAAACATGACTTTTGAAACCATTTATGCCTAATTTAGAATTGACTCTTGACCGCCTCCCTTAATTAAGATTGTTGAAATTGAATTTTCTGATAATATCAACAATTATTTTTGGCAGGATTTAAGATTTCTTTGGTTCTGTCCATGTGTGTATGTTGCCTCTTGCTTGAATGGAATGAAGTGTGCTCGTGTTTTTACTTCATCTTGAACATGAGCAAGCTCTCTTTTTTATAACTTGAGTTTCAAGGGCAGTGCTACTGATAAGACGTTGGAGGTGCTTTGGTCAGGGAATTCCCATAGTCTGTTTTAACAAAACTTCTTAAAATAAAGATAGTTAATGAAATTAGTAGAAATTAATAAAAATGCAGCCTTCACCACCAATTTGTTAATTAACCTTCGATGACAGTATGATTGAGGAGCTTCAAACCATTCATTTGTTACTGGCTGGTTGTCAATCATAATTCCAGTTTGTCAGTGTTCTGAGATTGTCATTGGAAGCACAAGATGGCTTTCTGGTTTTGTTAGACCAGCAGAATCTACTTGTTTGTAAAGGGTTCCTAAAAATGGTCAACTTTTGCAAACTAAATCCAGACCTAGAAAGGTCAAGCCCAGGTCAGCTTACAAGTTGTCCAATTATGAATAGTTCACATTAATATTAGAGGACTGGAACTCAGATAAAATTTCAGTTTTTCATTGTAGCCTAACTTAGATTTGCTATGATTTCAAGTTAACAGAGCTAACCCACTGACTGTGATGCCTAATTAGTAATTTTATTAAACAATGATGTCTTTATTTCCTTCTAGGTGCTGTTCTTTTGGCCTGTGTGCAGGGAATTGCAGTCAATGTGGACCCAATCTTTTATGTATGGCTTCTTCAGCTGCCTCAGAAAATGAACGTGAAACATAGATCACAGGTAATGAGATCATGATGGGATGAGTGTCTGAAGATTGCAGTTTTTCTGCATTTATTTTGTCATGAACATCGTGCTCTGTAATATTATTGAAACCAAATACTATAGTGTAATATTCTGGCATTGCAATGAGAACAAACAGTAATTGGTATTATAATTGGGTTAAAGTTTATAATAGGTATTGTACATTAGTATATTCCCGCTGTCTAAAAATGGACATAAAAATAAAAATCTGTAAGATTTCTGATATGGCACACGCTCGTTTATAAATCTATACATGTCATTGTTCATAGTGTAAAGAGCAATATCCACATTTTTAATGGAAATGTAGATGCTAAAATGTTTTGAGTTGAGTGCCTTACCTGATCCAAATTAGCATTTTTCAAACAATGGAGTTAAAGTTTTATGACAAAGAGCATGTCCCTAGCATGTTCTGTTTTGTTAGAAAGTACAAAAGTTGTAGAAGACAGAGTAAGATAGAGTGTCTTTCCTCATTACTTTTAACATCAAACATTTAAACTATAATTGTTACTTTTTTCTGAATAGTGAATGATTAACTTGGCTATATTTACTTACAACAGTGGGAACTATGTACCGGCTCAGATGTACATGTCCGGAAGCCAATCACAAAGCGCCAAAATCAGTATCTTCAGGAGAGATCCTGGAGAAAGTCAATAATCACTGCTGCTGAATACGTAGTCTGTTCAATCAGGCGAAAATGGTATAGTGGTTATGTCACCAGTAATCCAGTGTCCCAGATTGATGTTCACATAGATTCGAACCCCACCATGCAAGCTGGTGAAATTTGAATTGAATTGAATTGAAAAGTGAAATTAATGTAGTGGAGACTGCTGTTGATTGTCTTAAAAATCCAACCAGTTCACTAATGTTGTTTATGGAAGAAAATCTGCTGTCCTTACCTGGTCTGGCTCACATGTTACTCCGGACCTGTAGCAATGTGTTTAACTCTTAACTGCCCTTTAGGGTTGGGTAATAAATGCTGGCCTTGCCAGCAATGCCCACGCTCCATGAATGAGTATAAGAATACCGTAATTATCTGATGCTGTTAGGCCCTTATTACCTCATCAGCTGATTCGCTTAAACCCCCTTCTCTGTTTTGCTATTGAAGCATGAACTGCCTCTCACTTGAAGTTCCTCCAAATTGCCTTGCGGTACTGCAACATTGTTTGATAGTTATTTCCAGCCACTGCATTTCTTTTTGCGTGAGCTGAGATTTAAAAATTAGTAAGCATTATGAGATTAAAAATATAGGTAAACATATTATAAATAAAATGAAGACAGCTCCTTTAGTGCTGCAGAACAGAGTGAACTTGTGGAATGCAATCCCCAAGGCATCCGTAAAAAATGCCACATTACTACTTAATAAAAATGAAATTTGGTTTATTTGTTCGCAGTAAATCATAGCTTGGGCATTGCCCTTTATGGCAGTAGAATAGCTGTGATTATTTAACAATTATTTCCTCATTCACTTTGAGTACCACCATAGGAAATGTATGCAAAAATGCAGATATGTACTGGCAATAATTGAAATTACAGTTAACAAATAATATAAATATATAAGCATGTTGTAATAATGTATTCTGGTCAACCACATTTTTCTATAAAATACACAAAACACTTGCATGCCACATAACACTATGTTCTTTGTCAAAATCAAGAGGACCAATTGAAATAAATAGTTCCATCAATTTTTATTTTCCTTACTGAGATTTGAAAATTGAACTTAATTTATTGTTTGCTTTCAGCTGGTCAGTCATGGTATTTCATTGCATTTCAAGAAAGATTGAAACCAGCAGTAATTTTATTAAAGAGAAAGTCCGCACAACTTCGGAAACTAGCCCTATTAATGAGCTGCTTTTTAAATGAGTATATAAAATTTGACTGGTTTATACATGACATTGGGCATTTTTTAATGTTCCATCCTGTCATTTAGCATATTCCTAATATATTTGGTGTGGTTGAAATGGCAGAGTCAATTTCCTTTAGCTCACATCTAATTATATTACATACAAAAGGTGTTTTTCTTCTTGCCAATGATACACCCCACTATTCTGAATTCATTGACTTTTTATTGCGATATGTTTCTCTGGATGCTAGGCATCCACAATACCTTATTGAAGTGAGACAACAAGGTGTAGAGCTGGATGAACACAGCAGGCCAAGCAGCATCAGATTCTCCGATTCTCCAACATCGGCAGTTCCCACTACCACTATATTGAAGTGGCCATTATTTGTGTGTGAATGTCAGAAATAACTTTAAGAAGAGATGGTAGGGTAAGTGATAAGGTCACTAAACTAGTAATCCAGAGGCTTGGGTAGTGTTTTGGGAAAATTGTTTCAAATCCCATTACAAAAGCCATCTTAACTGGTGTCACTCGGGAGGATTTAAACTAGCTTGGCAGGGGATTGGTAACCAAAGCAAAGATGAATAGACTGAAAGGGAACTAGAGAATACAGCCAGTAAGACTCCGAGGAAGAGCAGGCGGGGTGTGGTTGAGGATCTGATGGACTGAAGTGCGTCTGTTTCAATGCAAGTATAACAGGTAAGGCAGATAAACTTAGAGCTTGGATTAGTACTTGGAACTATGATGTTGTTGCTATTACAGGGATTTGGTTAAGGGAGGGACAGGATTGGCAGCTTAACGTTCCAGGATACGGATTTTTCAGGCGGGATAGAGGGGGATATAAAAGGCGTGGGGGAGTTGCACTACGTGTTAAGGAAAATTTCACAGCTGTACTGCGGGAGGACACCTCGGATGGCTCATATAGTGAAGCAATATGGGTAGAGCTCAGGAGCAGAAAGGGTGCAATCACAATGTTGGGGTTTACTACAGGCCTCCCAACAGCCAGCGGGAGATAGAAGAACAGATATGTAGGCAGATTTTGGCAAGATGTAAAAGTAACAGGGTTGTTGTCGTGGTGGTTTTAACTTCCCATATATTGACTAGGACTCACTTAGTGCTTGGGGCTTGGTTGGGGCAGAGTTTGTAAGGAGCATCCAGGAGGGCTGCTTGAAACAGTATGTAGATAGTCCAACTGGGGAAGGGGCTGTACTGGACCTAGTAATGGGGAATGCTTGGCCAGGTGGTTGACGTCTCAGTAGGGGAGCAGCTCGGGAACAGTGATCACAATTCAGTAAGTTTTAAGGTACTGATGGATAAAGATAGGTGTAGTTGTCAGTGAAGGTGTTAAATTGGGGGAAGGCTAGTTACAACAATATTAGGCAGAAACTGAAGAATGTAGATTGGAGGCAGATGTTTGAGGGCAAATTAACATCTGGTATGTGGGAGACTTTCAAGTGTAAGTTGCTGGGAACTCAGGACCGGCACTTTCCTTTAAGGATGAAAGATAAGTATGGCAAGTTTAGGGAACATTGGATAAGAAGAGATATTGTGAGCCTAATCAAAAAGAAAAAAAGAAGCATTTATCAAGGCTAGGAGGCTGGGAACACACAAAGCAAGGGTGGAAAGAAACTTAAGCAAAGAGTCAGGAGGACTAAAAGGAGTCATGAAAAGTCATTGGCCAACAGGATTAAGGAAAATCTCAAGGCTTTTTATACATCTATAAAGAGCAAGAGCATAGCCAGGTAGAGAGTTGGCCCACTTAAGGACAGGGAAGGGAATTTATGTGTGGAGCCAGAAGAAATGGGCGAGGTATTAAATGAGTACTTTGCATCAGTATTCACCATAGAGAAGGACTTGGTGGATGATGAGTCTGGGGTCATGTTGAGATCAAAAGGGAGGAGGTATTTTTCAAGACATTAAGGTAGACAAGTCCCCAGGGCCTGATGGGATATACCCCAGAATACTGAGAGAGGCAAGGGAGGAAATTGCTGCGGCCTTGAGGGAAATCTTTGTATCCTCACTGGCTACAGGGGAGGTCCCAGAGGATTGGAGAATAGCCAATGATGTTCCTTTGTTTAAGAAGGGTGGCAAGGATAATTCAGTTAATTACAGGCCGGTGAGCCTTACGTCAGTGGTAGGAAAATTATTGGAGAGGATTCTTCGAGACAGGATTTACTTCCACCTGGGAATCAGTGGGCGTATTAGCGAGAGGCAACGTGGTTTTGTGAAGGGGAGGTCATGTCTCACTAACTTGGTTGAGTTTTTTGAGGAAGTGACAAAGATGATCGATGAGGGTAGGACAGTGGATGTTGTCTACATGGACTTCAGTAAGGCCTTTGACAAGGTCCCTCATGGCAGGCTGATATAGAAGGTAAAGTTGCACGGGGTCAGAGGTGCGCTTGCAAGTTAGATTAAAAAAAACTGGCTCGGTCATAGAAGACAGAGGGTAGCAGTAGAAGTGTGCATTTCTGAATGGAGGGCTGTGACTCGTGGCGTTCATCAGGGATCAGTGTTGGGATCTTTTCTGTTTGTAATATATATAAGTGATTTGGAGGAGAATGTAACTGGTCTGATCAGTAAGTTTTCCGATGACACAAAGGTTGGTGAAATTGCAGATAGCGATGAGGACCGTCAAAGGATACAGCTGGATATAAATCGGTTGGTCACTAGGGCAGAGAGATGGCAGATGTAGTTTAATCCAGAAAAATGTGAGGTAATGCATTTTGGAAGATCTAATCCAGGTTGAAAATATAAAGTAAATGACAGAACCTTTAAGATTGCTGATAGGTAGAGGGATCTGGATGTACAGGTACCCAGGTCACTGAAAGTGGCAACACAGGTGGAAAAGGTCATCAACAAGGCATACGGCATGCTTGCCTTCATCCGCCAGGGCATTGAGTTTAAAAATTGGCAGGTAATGTTGCAGCTTTATAGAACCTTAATCAAGTTGCATTTGGAATATTGTGTTCAATTCTGGTCGCCACACTATCAGAAGGATGTGGTGGCTTTGGAGAGGGTACAGAAAAGATTTACCAGGATGTTGCCTGTTATGGAGGGCATTAGCTATGAGAAGAGGTTGGAGAAACTTGGGTTGTTCTCACTGGAATGATGGAGGTTGAGGGGTGACCTGATAGAGGT